TTTAATTCCATGGTCTTGTCAATCGGCCTTTTATTGCCATAAGAAATTACCAGAGGAAAACAAAGACTCATGGTTTCATGGTCACGTGACCTGAGACAAGACTGAGAGCACAGTTGGTGCAAAGCTGCTCAACTCAAGACCCCTGAGAAGCAAAGGGAGACAGAGGAGAGACGCGAGGGACAGACTACTACCCTTCCAAAGTATGCCACCAGTGGCCTGCTTCTGCTAACCAGGTCCCATCCCGAAGGACGCAACCTTTCACAATTAGCTCTTGAGGGCCATTCCAGAGCCAAACTACAATAATGGTGCCTGAGCTCTGAGTGGGTGGGGGTGGGGACACAGGCAGTTGAGATAAGTGATGGAGAAAGCATCCTCAACTCGAAGGATGCAAAATGGGGAGAAGTGGTTTCTTGAAGTGATCGGAGAGGATCTCACTGTAGACATGACAATCAACCTAATTTCAAAAGCTGATCCCTTCCGGGTAAAATGAGAGGGAGCACTCAGGTGAAGAAGAACTTGGTGTTTTAAAGAGTCAAAAGGAGGTCAGTGGGATTGGAGTAGACAGAAGAGGACAAGTGACATTAAGGGCAGTTTGAAGGGTGCCAATGACCAAATTGTACAGGACCTACTGAGTCCTTGCATAGGACTGGATTACCCTGTTAAGCTAAAAACTGTAAGCAATCTGCAGGCAGCGTTGGGATTGGTGAGAACCTGATGGTGGGTTTTCATCTGGAGGATGGGACAAGCGGATTTTGACTTGTGCAAACTTACTCTACCTGATGGTGACACAGAGACCAGAGTCTTTATCCAAGCTCTGCAGCTCTGATGGACACATGGAGTTACAGGAGCGGAGATGTCATATTTTTCCTGATGAATTTGGTGTTAGGAAAAGAGTTCAGAGGAAAAAGTCAAAGATAATCCTGAGGTTTCTGGTTTAAATAAATTGCTGGATAGGGTGCTACTTATGGAGCCAAGAAAGTCTCTGGGAGAAAAGATTTGTGCAGAATATTCGTTTCCTTTTGCTGCCTTAATGAATTCACTGCAATCCAGTGAATTAAAACAATACAAATTTATTATGCTGTAATTCTGGAGGTTGTAAGTCTACAAGAGACTTTACAAGGCTAAAGTCGAGATGTAGGAAGGTCTTGGTTCTACTGGAGATGTTAGCGGTCTGTGTCTCTGGCCTTTCTGCCCTGTAGAGCTAGCCTCATTGCTATGGCCCATCTCCTAACCTTCGCTGACTGACCAAGCATCACACCACATCACTCTGACTCTTTCTCCCTCCCTTCTTAAGCTTGTAAGGATGGTGGGGATACACTAGGCCCACTTAGTTACTTATCAGTGTTAATTCCTTCTGTGGACACCTCTGTTTGCGATCTACTATAATGTGTTCACAGATAACAGAGATGTCTTATGAGATGGACACGGATGTCTTGTGAGTCGGAGTTGGAGAGTCTTGTTCTCTCTAGCATGTGTGGAAAAAAATCAACATGTGTGTTTGAGGCGTGTTAAATTTGAGTTGCCAGTGAGTCAGCCCATCAGGAACTCATCATGGTGGTCAATGTGAACAAGAGTGGGACGTGCAAGGACAGATTCGCACTTAACAGGCGAGCCATGGAAAGCGATGGAGTGCCGTCGCGTGGTCGGAAAAGAGAACGGTCATAGAAAACTATTGCACTTAGAGTGGGAGAGGAAAGCAAGGAGAAAAGCAGCGGAAGAGCCAGAGACACAGGGTGAGAACTCAAACAATGTGCGGCCAGGGGAGCCCAGGGAGGAGCCTTAAAGAAAAAAGGAAGTGTGAGCCTCTGGGTTTAGTTCTGCCACATGGGAGCATCTGAGCGTCTGTGGGCAGATTGGTCAATAAAAGATTGGAAATTTGAGCCAAGGTGTCAGTGCAGTGGTGAAGGTAGCTTTGAGACTGATGGAGGTGGGTGATGATCATGATCACAGATGTTGAAGTTCTTCTCCATGACATTAGCAGTATCTGCAGACACTCTGAAAGCAGAGAGGCAGGCCTGGTGAGATGGCTCAGGGCATCAAGGCCGTTGCTGCCAAACCCCATAGCCTGAGTTCGATCCCTGTGGTAGTTTGAATGTCATTGGCCCCATAATCTCATAGGGAGTAGCACTATTAGGAGGTGTGGCTTTGTTGAAGTGGTTATGGACTTCTTGGAAGAAGTGTCTCTGTGGGGGACATGCTTTGAGGTTTCCTATGCTCAGGATACTGCTCAGTGTCTCAGCTGGCTTCCTGTGGCCTGCATACAAGATGCAGCCACCTGCACATCTGCCTGCACACCGCCATGCTCCCTGTCATAATGCTAATAGACTGAATCCCCAAAAGTGTAAGCGAGCCACCCCAATTAAAAGTTCTCTTTATAAGATCTACTGTGGTCATGGTGTCTCTTCATAGCAATAAAACCCCTAACTAAGGCAATACCCAAGGTTTTTATTATGGAAAGGGAGAACTGACTCCCACAAGTAGTTCCCTTAGCTGGACACACGTAACACACACACACACACATAACACACACACACATGCACACACACACACATTCACGTGTGAATTTAAAGTTTAAAAGGGATCTAAATAATGAGTTTGTCATTTTTGGTCACAGCCTTTGTAAGAAGAAGCTGGGAGTAGCAAGACCACCTCTAGTCAGAGAGCCACACAGAGAAGGGTAGCCACTGACGCTCATTGCTCCACCCTGTGTATGTAGCAAACACAGAAAATCAGCAGAGGGAGAAACCGCCTCGCCCTTCCCAGGTGCACCCGAGGGCTGCATGAAAAGCGGTAACGACACAGAGAAGATGGACAGGGTCTCTGTGCAGGGGGGACTCCCAGATTCACGGAGTATCCCACATTCTTCCCTAACACACGCAAGGCCCTGGGTCCAACCCATAGCACTTGCCATGGTTACTTTTCCAGTGCCATGAAGAGAAATCACGACCAAGGCAGCTTACAGAGAAAGAGTTTTTAGGGGTTTACGGTTCCGGAGGGTTAGAGTCTGTGACCATCACGGGGGTAGCATGGCAGCTGGCAGGCAGGCTTGGCGCTATCACAGTAGCTGAGAGCTCTCAGGCACCAGGCAGAAAGAAAGAGCTAACTGGGAAGGGTTTGGGCTTTTGAAACTTCAAAGCCCACCCCAGTGACACATCTCCTAAACCTTCCAAACCAGTTCACCAACTGGAGACCAATAAACGTAGGAGCCTATGTTCAAACCAACACAGCACTGAAAAAAAAAATCCTCCTTAGTACAGTCTTGAAGCCCTTTAGAACTAAATAACAAGAAGGGCCTGGAGTAACACTGAAATAGCCCTGGGGAAACTCGGGCTCTCTCTATCTTGAGTAACTTGCTCCTCTGCCACTGCTTTTCTGGGGATTGCTAGAGGGACTTGCTACCATCTCCCCAATTTACCATAAAGGCTGGATGCCGCAGAACGAGGCATGAGAATTCCCTCCTGTTCATCTCCGTGGCACTGGACCTTTTAGGAGAAGGTGGTTGAAAGATTCTTGGAGTCAAAATTGGTAACTCTCAGAGTTCCAGCTCTTGGAGGCTGAGGCAGGAGGATCTTCACAAGTTAGAGATCAGCCAGGCTAGGTCATGAATCCCAGGAGAGCCTAGAATATAATGTGAGATTCTGTCCCAGAAAACCAAAACAAACCCAAAGTACTCTGAGCCCGATTCCTCCTCCACCCTCCGGTTCTGAGTTATGGAATAGGAGATAAGATTTAAAGGCACAAACCAAAAGCTTCTTGATGATATTATTCGTCAGAATAAATAAAATAAGGAAAATTTAATAGCCCTGAAAATATATCCAAAGTATTTATTTCCTTAAGTCTCTGTCTTGCCCTATGTACAAAATTAGTTTTGATTTATCATAGACATAAAAACAAGCAATAAACTTCTGGAAGACAGGAAGGCAGGACAAGTTGTATGTGTGTGCACATGCGTGTAAACATACATGTCAGTAACTTTAGAGGTGAGCAAGCACTTCTTAGAAAAGATGCATGACAAGTATGATAAATCAAAATTGAAAACTTCAATTCATTAAAAGAATAACCAGGCACAATGCACACGCCTGTAAGTCTTAGCTGCTGAGATTCTGAGGGAGAAGAATCTTCAGGGCAGTAAAGATAGCCCTCCTCTTAAAAACAAGTAAACAAAAGCATACTGTTACATTATAGACTGGGAAACAATGTTTATGAATATGTATGCATATATATAATAGACCTTGGTTCTAAAATATACTACAAACCCTATACCTCAATTAAATATAAAAAAGAAACTAATTTTAAGTGAGCGGAGAACCTTAGTCTATAATAATTATTTGCTTCACTGGTCCAAATAGCTGCAATTTAGTATCATTGATAGGTTTTTTTTTTTTCTCTTAAATAATAAAAGAAATGGGGAATGGATTTAAGGAAAGCGGTAGCAGGCCTTAGCCACAAGCTAAAAGCCTGGCTGATCACCATCTAGTGGCGGAGATTATAATTGCAGTTTTTGGTTTCAGTTTTAGGTTAACAGCCTATTTTAAAGACTTAATATACAAAAAAGAGTTGCAAACACCTAAGACAATCTACAATAACAATAAATTTAGTTTACCTTAATAAAACAGAACCAAAAGAACAGAATTTTATTGAAAAACCATTGAATCAATGAATATTATAATATATGATATTCAGCCAAATATGTATGTTGTAAACTTAACGACTGTTAATAGTATCAACATAAGTTAATTTGTGTGCTGGGTAGACATATACCATTGCACTCAGTTTTCCTAAGAACTCAGGGAAGTACAAACCCACCCCAGGTAACACTACTACAATAAAAATTCGCCAGTAGAAACTCATTTGGTTGCTAATAAGCAAACCTTACAGACATTATTTGTCTCACAATCCAACGCTTTTGGGAGGCCCTCCTGAAAGTGAAAGGCAATTGGAAAAGCTAGGGGGAAAGGAGTCATGGTTACTTACTGACGCTCTGTCCTCTTCCGCACCAGGTGCTGTCGTACCACGCCACGTGTTCCAAGGCCGAAGTCGACAAGTTTAAGGTGAGGACAGGAACCGTTGCGCTGTTAGCATTTAAACTCTGTCTGAATGTGGAGCCGGGTCCGGGGCAGAGAGGCTTGGAGTCCTTCGCTATGGAGAGGTAGAAGGATTAAACAACTCAGTCATCCCTGTGTGGTTTACAGGAGTCTTTCCTTCGCTAAGCTCGCAGATACGGGGAGCCGGTCTGAATACCTGGGTGAGGATCGGAGCACCTGACTTAAGCAATGGTCTTACTTCTAACTTACTATGCACTTCAAAATTTTAGGGCCTTGTTGTCTTGTCTATCTATAAAACAAATGAAGAAGTGGGGCAGCGGTGGCGCATGCCTCTAATATCGTACTCAGGAAGCAGACTTCCTTAGTTCGAGGCCAGCCTGATCCACAGCGTGAGATACAGGACAGCCAGGGCTGCACAGAGAAACCCTGTCTCGGGGCTTGGGGAAGAAAAGGAAAAGAAAAAAGAGCCTAAAACAAAGAAGAGCCGAAAACGAAGTGCTTGAGGTCATAACTAACATTTTCCCCGCTCTTACTGTACACTGCAAGCTCTTTACCTGAGCTCATCCGTCTCAACCTCACAGCCCTGTACACTGTTTTCCAGATGAATAAACTGAGGAGGAGGGGGATCCATCTCAGAACTGTACTTCTTACCCACATGCCCCCCCCAGGTGACCCCAGTCTGACTCCCATGAGTTTATGAATGAGCCTCAGGTGTCCATTTTTATCTTGGCCACCGTGGCTCCTTGGTGCAGTTCAGAATTCCCGCTTGCCCCCTGCATTCCTACAAACCCTTTTTTAACAACAGCCACAAATGAGGTGGGCTGGGGCGTAGCTCAGAGGTATAGTGCTTGCTTAGCATGTTCAAGGTCCTGGGTTCAATCCCCAGGACTTTAGGAAGAACAAAACCACAGGAGTGTTGATTTTTTTTTCTTCCTTAAAAAAACTGGTGTTTGTATTTCTAAATTCTGCTGAAAGTTTTGAGAATGACTAGGAAAGGCTACTGCAACCATAAGAAACACCATATTTGTAATATTAGTCTATGACATTGCTTGCTGCTCTTCTCAGAGCCCCGTTTACACAAAGATCCATTTTATCCTCGTAGGGAAAGAATGACACAGAGATCTTTGATCCCGATAGAGTCATATCGGAATGGAATCACACAAACCACTAAAGAGGACAAAGAAAGATCCTGAACACAGGGATAGAATTCCCCCAGGAGAGCAAGCAATGAGTTGTTACAGTAGGCAGATGCTTACGGAAAAGTCTCACAGCGGTGCCCCAGATCACAAGACGAGGCTGTGCTAGCAAGAAGTAAGGACTGGCCCTGTAGGAAGGAACCTAAACTAGAGCAGTCAGTTAACAGAAGCAAGCATCTTGATTGAAGACTTAGTTTGTTTTCTGTCTCTGTAACAAAACGCCTAAAACTGTCATTTCTAAGCAATAGAGGTTTACTTAACTTATGCTGCAGAGGTTGAGAAACCCAAGGGTATTACTGACATCTGTTCAACATCTGGGGTGTGTGTGTGTGTGTGTGTGTGTGTGCCTATGTGTGTGTGGTATGATGTGTGTGTGTGAGATGTGGTGTGGTATGTGTGCCTATGTGTGTGTGTGTGTGTGTATGGTGTGTATGTGCAGTGTGGTGTGTGTGTATGTGTGGTGTGGTGTGTGTATGTGTGGTGTGATGTGTGTGTATATGTGCAGTGTGGTGTGTGTGCCTGTGTGTGTGTGCAGTGTGGTGTGATGTGTGTGCCTATGTGTTGTGTTCACATGTGTCTGTGTGCAGTGTGGTGTGTGTGTGGTGGGCTTCTTCCTTATCACAACAAGTCAGAGGTCCTCATGGGGTGAGAGGGCGCACAGTGCAGAGAGCCGCTCCATAACCTTGCCTCCCTTTCAGGAAGCCATAGGTCCATCCATTCCTGAACAAAGTCAGTTCATGACTGTCCATGTCCCAAAGTGCGGCTTCTCAACACCGCTGCATTGATGACAAATTTCCCACGTGTGGGATTTGGGGATCCATTGAAACCCTGGCATATTGACCAGGATGTGAACTCCACAGCGGGCATTTTTGTGTATTTCCTTCATGGTTCTGTCTCTGCTGCCTCTCACAGTTCTTAGTCCAACATGACAGTCAGTAAGTACTTAGTGAATGAATGAATGAATGCAGAGAGCATCCGTATTCTAGATCTTAAGCAGTTAGTAATCAAGAAAATATTAAAAATAGAACATAAAATTATTTTAGAAGCCTATTAAAATTTTCTTTAATATTTATAAATTATATATTTTCCATAAAGATATTTAAAACTTATTTATTTTAATAAAATTTAGTTCACATACATCAAAACACCAGATATTATATGATAAATCTGTAAAATTTTTGGTTTTAATCTATAAATTTGAAAAGTTAGACAATAAAGTGAAAGTTTCCTTGCCTAGAAAGATTGTTTATGGCAATACCTAGTTCCTGCTAAAATAATAATATGACATATTGTTCTTTCATTTTTTGCTGCCATTCTGATTATTTTTGTTGCCAAGCAGGGAAGTAACCAGAAAGAAGACAGCAAAGTTCCTAATGAGCTCAATGTGACTGTAAAAGCCACTCAGAGCCACCTCCCAGAACTACCGCAGGCTCCACAGTCAAGAGGGGACTGCTCTGTGAAGGTCACTAACCTTCTTCCAGGCTTCCTTCTTTGCTTTAGAGCAAGGAGAACCCCATTGTCTTAGAGCATGCTGTACTTTCCTGTTATTGGCTCCTAAACACACTAAAAATATGAAGTATTTAAATTTGAGAACAAAGGGTTATTTGATCTTAAACCTACCAAGATTATTAACGGAACTGATTTATTCCAGATTTTATCCCAAAAGATATTAGCTGGTATCCTATGATACTGTAATTGAGATTTAGTAGATAAGTTTAACCAAATGGCTTTTTCCTTGATATATAAAGTAAATAAAACATTAACCTAATTGATAGCTGGTGTCTGTTGTAGCTGCAGCAGTGACGTTAAAATGAGTGTGCATAGAATAGTCCTGTGTATAGTCACAAGACAGCACTGGCAGACACTCCAGACTCAACTGTATACAACTAGCTAAATAACTGAATACATGCTTTATTTTTACCAAGATATACAGACAAGCCACATCGACATCCAAATGTGCTGTGACCTACATTATCTCTGCACCTTTGAAAATATGCAGAGTTCTTTTTAAAACCACCCTAGCGATTTATTTGAGTCTGGAATCGGTGTTCTCCACAGACTTCCTGGGTGAAGGGAGGGATGAACACCACTGCTCACTTTGCTTGCTGGGATGAGAGCGCAGTGATTCAGAGATGGCCCAGGGTTTGGAAAGAAACTATTTAATTATCTGGTGGTGGAAAACATACGGAGCCCAACTACACACAACACGGGCATGTGACAGACCTCATAGAAGCCCAAGATGTTCCACATCCGGGTGCGCAAATGTCCCAGACACCAGCAAGATGGGGTTGTTTACGTGAGTCTAAGAGCCTGTCTGAGTCGAGAGTGTGTTCTGATGGGAGTGGAGTCCATGAGCCTCCCTGTCTACACGTGAGTTCCAGGTCAGCATGAGCGCCGTCTCCTGGATCTGCCTCATCCCTTGACCAGCCATGGGCCCATGTGTTCAGTCGAGAGCACAAGCAGATGCTGAGGCCAGACTTGAGGATGGATTCAGCACATTCCATGATTCAGGTAGCTCAGGCTCCGGAGCGTCAGCTGCACACACCAGGGACCAGTGGCAGGAAACGTCCCGCAGACCATGTGAGGGATACTTTCCTTCCGGTATGACCATCAAGGGCTGGGAAGGTCAGTGTGGGTGAAGAGGTCGCTTGGTAAGGACAGGGAAGGCATCCCCTGAGGGTCCCAGTAAGAAGTGAGGGTGCCAGCAACACCGAAGAGTGGAGAGTGAGTTCTACACCCTTCGTTATTACTAGTTTACAACCATCTGTACACACGGAGGGAGTGGCTGAGGGGGACTGATAGGGGAGACAACCTGTAGCAAGTTTAATAACCGTTGATGTTAGGCTAATACCTTACCCTTCCTAGTACCTGCTGGTCCATCTGGTGGATTCCCCCCATTTGAGAATGCCATGAAGGAGCTATCTGGATTTCATTTCTTCTGATTCCCCTTATTTGTCTGAGTGAGAAGACTTTGGAGAGAGATATGGTGGCCGATGGGAAAGCGGGACCAGACTTTGTCCCAGTTTTGTCCCTGTTGCTGTGACAAAACACCCTGATGGAAGTCACTTAAGGGAGAGCAAGTTTATGTCAGCTCACAGTTTCGGCAACAGTTGGAACCTGTGGTGGAGTCACTGTGGCAGGGGGAAGGCAGCTGGTCATGTGCACAGACAGGAGAGGAGAGAGAATGGGTGCGTGCATGCCACGTGCACAGACAGGAGCATAGAGAGAATGGGTGCGTGCATGCCACGTGCACAGACGGGAGCGGGAAGAGAATGAGTGTGAACATGCCACGTGCACAGACGGGAGCGGGGAGAGAATGAGTGCGTACATGCCACGTGCACAGACAGGAGAGAAGAGAGAATGAGTGTGAACATGCCACATGCACAGACAGGAGAGAAGAGAGAATGAGTGTGAACATGCCACGTGCACAGACAGGAGAGAAGAGAGAATGAGTGCACACATGCCACGTGCACAGACAGGAGAGAAGAGAGAATGAGTGCGTGCATGCCATGTGCACAGACAGGAGTGGAGAGGGAATGAGTGCGTACATGCCACGTGCACAGACAGGAGTGGAGAGGGAATGAGTGCGTACATGCCACGTGCACAGACAGGAGAGAAGAGAGAATGGGTGCGTACATGCCACGTGCACAGACAGGAGTGGAGAGGGAATGAGTGCGTACATGCCACGTGCACAGACAGGAGTGGAGAGGGAATGAGTGCGTACATGCCACGTGCACAGACAGGAGCGGGGAGAGAATGAGTGCGTGCATGCCACGTGCACAGACAGGAGCGGAGAGAGAATGGGTGCAC